CTGGATTCGAAAAATCATGTAAAAACCATAATCTCCGCTGATGATCAGAATGTATTTGAGAAATGTTTCAAAACTTATGTGACGCTTTTCTTTGGCAACATAAATCCTTTCCAGTGTACGGATTATGAACCCATCGGCTACGTCTTTGTTGATTGGTGCATCCTTGCGGAGATTTGGAAAAATCTCCTTTAGGTAGATTAGATATGAGGACTTGCTAGAAATTATGTGTGAGAGGCCACCAATAATTTATGTTTGGAGACAACCGGCGTGTAAAGAGGCGAGTATGTTAGAACATCTAAAGCGCAAATTGAGTCTAAGATATCATTTATAAAGAAATTAACATCTCTGCATATTTTAAATTTTTTAACATGGACTCATAAATACATGTTACAAATTTAAATCCAAATAAAACATAATATTTTAATATTTAAAAATGTAATATAACATAATGTTTTACGATAAATCATTTACCAATATTAATTACTTTATAAAAATTATATTAATGTCCATTTGAAACCATATTTGAAAATATAAATTTGGGAAGAGACCAGGGATTGGGAGGAGTACCCAATTCTATAAGATACACACTATCTGGCAAACTCCAGACAATAGCTTCGCCTGCAAATACCCTGTTGACGCAAAAACAATATTTGCAAAGTGCAAGCAAATCATTGGACGTCCGGCCTCGAGGAAATAAGAGAAGGAGCTCAAATCTGGCCGCTTCACTATCTCACAAAAACCATGACCTCCACCGATGATCAGAATGTATTTAGAAAATGTTTCAAAACTTATGTCACGCTTCTCTTTGGCAACATAAATCCTTTCCAGTGTACGGAATATGAACCCATCGACTACGTCTTTATTGATTGGTTCATCCTTGTGGAGATTTGGAGAAATCTCCTTCACGTAGATATGAGGGCTTGCTAGAAATGCTGTGTGAGAGGCCACCGATAATTTATGTTTGGAGACAATTGGCGAATACTTTAAACACACTTTCTTTTATTTATTTTTTAACCTAATGAATCAGCCAAAACATTTTTGGGCTTACGACTCTATTACTCTCAAAGATATTTAAAGTATGCGATGAACCATCAAATTAGAGACCTTGCCTTGTGAGATGAACCATCAAATTAGAGACCTTGCTTTGTCAGATGAACACCAAAATCTAAACCAAATCAATTTTTTTTACACGAATATGTTTTCAACTCTCACAAGGATTAATGGGACAGAAAAGAAGATATGGCTTCCTTGAAAGATAATACAAAAATACCATTAGCCACTATTTCAAAATTTAGACTTTGCCTTGATAATTCATATCAAGGTTCATTAACATCCCGAAACTATTTCAAATAACCTTGAAATTTCTCCCTTTTTTTTGTACTCTAAAAGACTCAGTATACCATATTAGGTCACAAATCATTACAAAAGATGAAAAGACCCTATTGAGAACAATAAGCCATTACATAGTATGGATCCTTAATACTTTGTACATCTATTTAATTATATTAAAATTCATTTAAAAACGGATCTAAAAAGATTGGCGCGTTTAAAACTATTAATATTTTATTATAAACGGGTTTAAATAGACTTATTTTTATAAAACAAGTCCATTTAGCCCCGTTAATTATAAATCCTAGTTAACATCACTAATTATAACAAACCAGAAATTTTTATATAATAGAACTTGAATAGACAGAAATATGTTTTTTCTTATGGATTGTTCAATTATGTGGGTGATTGGTTCGGCTGTAACTGTATATTAATTGCTGTACAATTTTGTCTGTAAACGTTTTTGCTGTACATTTAAGATTTTAGCTGTAATTTTTTTAACTTAAAGTATGATTGGTAAGTATTATATATATACTGTAGAATAATTTTTATTTATATAAAATTTCCAAAATCGAAGAGAGAGAAAATGGAGAAAAAGAATAAAGAAAAGACAATTAATTGTGATATG